GCCTAAAAAATATTTCTGCATCAAAGCAAGCGAAAGGATGGCCCTGGAACCGTGTCTATGGGTGGATGGGCCTGTGCCACCAGTTTGCACTAGTAAACTGTAAGGCTACTCAGTATCGTGGGCTGTCTCCTGTAGAGCAGAAAACCCTGTAGGAATCTGCTCGTTAATCAGCTCAGGAACTCTGTGAAGTTGAGGATGTCATCACACCCAGTTCACAAAAGGGGAAGTCGAGGTCCAGGGAGGTCTTACGAAGCTTAGGACTTTTCAGTGATTTTTCTGCCATCCTTGAACCTTGACTGTACCTGCTTTTTTTTTTTTTTCCTGCAAGCTCCGTCTAAAATCCCCCTTTTTGTCTTAGAGTCAGGGCCTCACCATAGAGCCCTCACTGGCCTGGAATTTTATGTAGACCAGGCTAGCCCTGAACTCCTTGCGCTCTGCCTGCCTCTGCCTTCCCAGTGATTGAATCCTTCCAAGAACGGACTCCCAGTTTCCTCTCTGTTTCATGTAGAAAGGCACACAGTCATGGTAAGAGGCACCAAGTCTACCACAAAGCTCAGCAGGTCCAGTCCAGCGGACCAAGAGAGAGCAGACTGTCCAGGAGTTGAGGGTGCTTTCTGCTTGAGTCACCTGCCTCAGGAGGGGGCTCTGGGGACAAGATATCTCCTGGTCCCTGATGAGCTCTGCAGGTCTAGGAGCTCACCGAGTCCTCTGGTGACCTGTCACAGGTAAGAATCATACCTAATTTGTCCAGGTGATGCAACTTGGGGCTGGGAGCAGTGAAGTGACTTGCTCAGAGTCACCCGTCAGAGACACCACTCAGGACACATCCCCATGCATCTGATTTTGAAGCGGTGCTGCTTGGTTGCACCAGGCTGGACCTACAGTGGCTGCTGCCTGGCCCTCCCACCCTGCTTGTGCAGCAAGCTAGGTCTCAGACTGTGAAGGGAAGGAGGGCAGTGGAAGGGAGGGCGCTGGAGATTAGCCCCTCAGCTTGGGGGAGCACCCCTTCTTCATCTGGGGCTTGGGGTAAACAGGACAGCTCCCCCCCCCCCCGCCCCTTCCAGGTAAGATGCTACAGTTGAGGCTGTAAGAGGGAGGGCTTGGCCATGCACAGGGCTGGGGTGCCTGGCTTCTGAGGCTTCAGACTCCCATGTTTTCCCCCAGCAGCCCCACTGTGCCGAGCGAGTGCCCAGCTCCACCACTCAGAGGCCACAATCCTTGCAGAATCTCTTCCAACATTCTCCCCCTTCAAAGCGGCCCAGCTTCCCTGCAAGGAACTCACCTCCCCCACAGCCTTCTTTACATTTTTTGCCTACACATTTTTTTTTTTTTTACAGCCAAACAGTGCTTTCAAAGGCCTCCTTTTTCATCTCCTAATTAATTTTTATCTTCCAAGTCGGAGGGAGGACAACACAGGAGACGCTGTTTGCGATGTCTGTTGCTCCCTGACAATTCTCCCAGCAAGCCCGCTTTGGAGCCAAGGGGCAGACTCTAGACACCCAGCTTCCTGCAAGCAGCTGCCTGAGCTCAAGGGGCCTGGGGCCCAAGAGCCTGGCGTCCCTTCTTGCTGTCCCCTCTCTTATGCTCTACTCTTAGCCATGGGAGCTTTATTTACTGATTTATTTTAGACTGTGTCTACAATGCTTATGTGTTTGTCTGTATGTTCATGCATGCATATATGCACGCTTGTGGAAGTTAAAGACCAATATCTGGTATATTTCTCTGTTGTTCTTTATTTCTTGAGACAGGGTCTCTCATCGAACATACAACTTTACTGATTCACCTAGTCTTGGCCAGCCAGACACAGGGCCCTCCTGTATCTACCCAATCCACACCCAATGCTTGGTGTCAGGTGAGTGCCAACAGGCCTAGCTTTTACATAGGTGCAAGGGATATGAACGCTTCATGTTTACATGTTAAGATCCTTACTGACCAGGCCATCTCCTCAGCCTCATGTGTACCACCTAACGAGGGATACGCCAACTACAGAAACAAAGTTAACTTGTTTTAATCTTGGCATGCATGGCGGGTGCCGCCTGCTCTGTGCCTCTGCTCACTACTGCCTCCTGCACCAGCTCCTCTTGGCTTTGCCACCTTTCCATTCCATCCCTTCCACAGCACCAAATGTTCAACTTCCCTGATCCTTTGACTACAGTGTGCCAAGACTGTGCTGGGCTGCGGGCACGGCCCAAGCCACTGTGGCTTTTTTCTACCCCAAGGGAGACGACTAAGGGCTGTGGTGAGATCCTAAGGGAAACTGATTGAAAGGACAAAGTGGTTCAAATCCAGCTCTGCAGCTTTAGCTGTGTGTCCTTAGGCAAGCAGCTAGCCTCTCTGAGCTACACTGTGTGTAACATGAGGGGCTAGCAATCATCTGTCCCCTAGGGCTGCTAGGAGGAGAATGGCAGAAAAACAGGTCAAGTGTGGACACATGCCTGGAACAACGAGGCCGGCTGCCGAGAAGGAATAATTGGTGTCAGGAGAGCATGGAATCGGGGTGATCCTGCCTGGGTACACTCAGCTGCTGTTTCTGGCTAATGGACCCTTGACCTCCATATTCCTGGCCGGGAAGCAGCGCCCCTACTCTGCCTTCCTCACTGCAGGGGAGGAGGGTGAGCATGCAGTGGCTGCTTGATGCTGAGGACCGAGGCTCAGTGGGGAGCTGGGACCAGGCTCTGGGAAGGCAATCTGAGCATCTCTGCATGGAGGGAGGCGGGGCCGCCAATCAGCCGAGATGAGCCTGCACTGGGCTTATTTATGCCTCTTCCCTTTGATCGGGAGCCCTGCTTAGAGACGGGCTCATGCCTAATGCATGAGAAGTTCCAGTAGTCAAAGGGCTGGGCTGTGGCCCTAGGACAGGAAGTGGAGTGAGCAGGCGTGTACGCGCACAGACACACACACACACACACACACACACACAGGGATATTTAAATAGATGACAGTCTGTGCAAACACACACACACAGATACTCTGGCATGCACTTGTGTATACTCATAAATACACATCTGTTCCCAGACTGTGATCATGCATTTGGTCATTAGCATACAGACACAGACACACAGGAAAACATTCACGTCCAAGCACGGATCTACAAGTGCACATGCAGGCAGACTCTCATGCATGTCACGTGTGATGAGCAAACTGCTCAGTTACATATGCCATCTACTCTACAAACCGTCATACATGTGTGTACATACTGTCAGACTTGCTCACACTCTTGAGGTTTCAACAAGTGCCTAATGTGACAACATTTTTATTTCCCCTTGATCTCAGCACACACTGTCTCCCTTACCCCACCCAGAGCAGATGTTGTGACCAGCTCCTGGTGGCAGTAGCCGTGTGCAAGGGAATGCCTCTTTCCCTCTTCTCTTCAATAAGTAGCTGTCCCCAGCCTCAGGAGAGACACAGGGAGCTGGCAGAAAGTGCTGGGGCTCCAGCACCCCTGGGATAAAGGCATTTTCCACTCTAACTTCTTTCTTTATTTCCTCAGGCCCTGCTGGGGCTCAGTCCATTTCTTGACGTCTCTGAGGAGGCAAAGGCTCCGGGATGAAGAACCAGAGCCCCCGAGTAAAGGGAAATGCTCAGGCTTCCAGACTGGCAGAGGGCGGCTGATTAATAAGCCGACCGGCGCACCTGTGCAGTTCCCAAAGCCTGCTCTTCCAAGAGGTAATTAGAGGACCCCTGCTCACAGCACCCCCAGCTGCAGCTCTAGCAGCACTGGGAACTTGTTAGAATTCTCTCTCTCTCTCCCCACACCTCTCCCTCTTCTCCCTGCCTCCTGTCAGGGCCTCATGGGTAGCTCAGGCTGGCCTCCCACACCCCATGTAGCTGAGGATGACCTTGAGCCTCTGATGCTTCTGCTTCTACACCGACCCCCAGGTACTCAGATTACAGGTATGCACCACTATACACACCGTTTTGTTTGTTTGCTAGTTTTTATTGTTTGTTTTCTGCTTTGCTGTGCTGGGACTGGACTCAGAGCTTTGTGTACCATAGGCACACTCTATCAGATAAGCTATATCCTCAGCCCAGGAGACCCATTATGCCTCTACCCTAGGTTTGACTTGAGTCAAACCTGTGCATTTGTGTGTGCGCGCGTGTCTGTGGTGCAGGATGGGGGAGATGACCAGTATTCAGTCCTTTCTGATGACACAGGCCCCTGTAGCATTCAGACACACAGTCCCAACCCCGCTGGCTTAGCACCTACATTTTGGGGAGAAGCAGATGAAGCTGGGATCCAGCTCCTCCAGATAGGACTCCTTGGATGATGTACTGATCTTTCAGCGGCTCAGTTTCCACACGTGGACTGGGAATAACTACAGTGCTAATCTCATAGGTTCTGAGGAGGTTAACAGAGGCCAAGCAAGGGGCAGAGTCTGGCCCACTGTGAGTGCTCAGGGCTACAGCTACGGTTATTTACCTAGAAGCACACTGAACCCACCGCTTCTTGGGGTCCTCCAGAGTCCCTTGACCTCAGCTAGTGATAGAAGGGGGAAAGCAGTGGAACTGAGCCAACACTTTCAAAGCCAGAGGAGCAACAGAGTCGTGGCTCCTGTGAAAGCAGTCGCGTGGGCAGATGACAGAGACTTTCTCTGACAGTGGTATTCTAAGAGGAGGGGATGTGCCCTCCGCTCTTGGAAATGGGAAGCTCATCCACACCACATCAGCCTCTTTGAGATGGAGTAAGGCCCCAAGCCAAGAGCAAGGTACCAATGGTCCCAGGGCTGTCTGGAACTGGGCCATTTCTCTCCTTCCACCTTATCCACTCTTTTCTCTCTATCCTCCTCCAATGATTCACAGTGCTTGCCCCAGTAAATTTCAGTACTCGAGACCAGTCTGTGTGGCATGCCATCACAACTCACTAAAGTTCACAAGTTTCACCAGGGATGGGCTGAGTCCTGTGGTTTTAGGCCCCTGGATTCTGAGCGGTGACAGAGGGAGGGAGGGGCGGAGCTCCCCTTTTCTACTCAGTACAGAGCCCAGGAAGAAGAGAGTCTCACCTTGAAGAAGGTCATGGTGGCCCCATCCTTGACAGCACCATACTCTATCTTGGTCTGTTTGGCCAGGTCATCAGCGGAGTCGATGGGAGATTCCATGCGCTCCACGGTCAGGAAGGCAGCCAGGTTGGCCGTGTAGGAGGAGATGATGATGAGTGTGAAGAACCACCAGATGCCGCCAATGATCCGAGTAGACAGAGCTTTGGGCATCAGTTCAGATCCTGGGAGGAGGGAGGAAAACACCTTACAGTGTGTAGACCAGGGGTGTGCCAGTCCCTGGGTCAGGTCATTAGTGGATCCTCCCAGAGGTGCTGAGAGACTGTTTCAGTCCCTCAGAATATCAAATGCATATTCTTGGATCCACTTTCAAGAACAATTGAGTCAAAAACTGAGAGGAGGGATGAGCAATGTGTGTGATCAATGTACACATCCCTTCGTGTATGTACAAGCCAGGATGGTATTTTATAATTGATGTTCTCAAACAATACACACACACACACACACACACACACACACACACACACACACACACAC